ATTTTTTTTTTTTGCAAATCTACACGTTTGGAGACCTCCTGAACCCCTCAAAAAAGTCAAAAAAAAGGAAAAATTTGCGCACGTGTGTGTGTTGGCATCTAATTTGTTTAATTTATTTATTTTCTGTTCTGAGATATTAAACAATATCTCAGAATGGGTAAGGTTTAAGAAACGAAATGTGGCACTGTAGCTTGCATATAAAGGGGTATTAATACTATTAAATTTTGGTTCTTAATTAAAGATCGACAGCATGAAGACATAAAAGTGATAATGTGTCATATCTCCTAATGAATATTTTACTTGTTATTAGCATTCAAAATTTAAAAAAATAAAATAAAATAAAACTCGTCTCTACTCTCAAAGTAAGCTTTTTTGGCATTTTATAATAGTACAGTAAAAATCATTAAGATGTTCTCGCCTAAGATGTTAGAATGTGCATGGGGACACGATTTAGTTCAACCACTTTGACGCTTAATAACTAACTCCCGTGTTAAATCATCTGACTCAGATTCTGACCACTCTGACCACAGAAATTATTAGGCTTCAAACAGGGTGAACAAAATCATGCTCCACACACACAGTCTAACATCCACACATATAGAAAAAAACCTCAAATCTTTTGCATATGTCGAAATTTCAAGGTGTCTTGAGTTCAAAAATGTAAAAATTTGGGAGGAGTCATTTTTTGACCAAGCGCTACACTTTCAGAAAGAAAAGTAACAATTATTGAATACATATTTATATATTACTTAGAGGAGTCTTTTAGCTTTGGAGTAAAAAGTTTCTATGTTCTATTTTTATTAAAACTCTATTTATTGAACCTTTTATTCTGAGGTCACGTGATGACATCAGAATTTCCGGGTCTCTTTTGGTAACAAGTCTGCCCCTAGTTGGAGTCGGATGGTAAGAAAGAGTCGGAGTTGGAGTCGTTAGATTTTTACGCGCCTCCACAGCCTTGAATTTTACTGTAACTTATTTAGATATATTGGGGTTTTTTTTTACATTGTATTTATCACTTAATCATACTTTGTAATATTTATGCATACATATTATGTTTAATATCAAGTTCAGATATGCAGCCACTTGCATTTGAAATCTTATTTCAATTTGTTTTTAAAAAGCTGTCAGAACCATTAATTAGAACTTACAGTTCAAATTTTCTTATTAAACCTGATGCAGACCTGTGAAAAGTGGTCAAAAAGATTTGTTTAAGTAAATTAAAGTGTTGTTCTATATAAGCTGAAACTAATTTAGTTAGAAGTGTAAAAGCATTTGATTTTGCTATTACCTGAGCAGTATCATTGTTGTTAGTTTTAATGTTGTCAATAAATGATTCAAATATAAGATGGTAATAAACTGTTTGAATTGGTTTTAATTACAAATTAATAGGTTGTTCATTGTTTAAACAAAAATGTCTGTTACATGATAATAGTCTTTTTTTTTTTTGTTGTATTTACTATAGCATAAATAAATATAAAATATTAAAAAAATTTAATATATTACTTTTTAATTATTCATTCCTTATTTAATTGATTTTTATTTAGATGCCTCGTGGAACAGATGAAACCTGGTGTCAGAAATTATGTAAACAATGTAGCAAATGGAAACATTTTGAAAAACCAAGATTATCAAATACTGCATTTATTATACATCATTTTGCGGATAATGTTAAATATGAAGTTGCTGGATTTCTTGAAAAAAACAGAGATACAGTTATGGAAGAACATATTAATATTCTCCGTGCTAGTCAGGTAGTTATTTGATATGTTTAAATTGAAAAACAATAAGTATTTTTATTGTGATTTTTTTAATTTTTTTATATTGTTTGAAACACTTCATATTGTATCATACTCACTCATTTTACAAAAGTAAATTTAAGTGTTATTTTTCATCCTTAGTAATGTAAATTGTACCAAATAAAACTTATACAATATACAACTTCTTGTACTAGCATAATTTTCATGACATATTTGAGTTACACTAACACAGATCAAATATGTTGTATCTCTGTTAGATTATTTCTTTCTTTTTTTTTTCTAATGGACTGATAGATGTTTCAAAAGAATTTAAGTTTTTAAAATGAATAAAGATTTATAACAGGTTGATTCTTTAATATATAGTATATATTATTGAGGAATTAGCAAAAGTTAATTCTTTATGTTGTTATAAAGCAGTATAAAAGCTTCTAATCATTTAGTTATCATTTTTATGATGATATACTGTAAACTGTAGTTTAAAGGGACAATTACTTCATTCTTTTTTGACAGTACACATGGAACAAAAATTTTATAAAGTTAAATATACAGATTCTGCCCATGGTTTTTCAGGTAAGGTCGCTGTAGGATTAATTACCTCATATTTTAACAATATAGCATTTGGACACACTTCCACTAAAATGGAAGGATTTAATGTTGTTGGCAAATATTCAGCATGAATTATTGCTCCATACATAAATAAATCAAGCATAAAACTTTATTAAGTGTTTGCCTTCTGTTTTGCAAATGTTGAGGTATGATATGGACATGGATAAAGCTGGGATATATGGTCAAATTTAACTATATTGGTTTTACACTCATTTTTTAAAAAGGAGAGAAAAAAAACTTTTTATCTCTATTGGTAAAAACAATAATTTGGCGAATACTGCATTAGTACAATGGGCTTCAGAATGAGGAATTAAGATATATTGAATGATCCTATTATTATTATTGCTGAAATGAGAAAAAGCTGCTTCTTTACAGAGCAGATATTCATATACTATTTAAACATGTTAATTTGATTAATGCTACAGATGCACTTGAGTTGGTTATAATTTTGGTCACATTGTTAGATATAATAAAATTCTTTTTTACTTCATATATAACCAATTAAATTAGATTAGTTGTACATACATGCACATCATTGTTTACTGATGTAACTATTATCATAACATCTTGATGAAAATTATTACTGGAAAGAGTATAATACCATAGCGTGTATCTTACTTGAAATCTTAAAGTACAGCTTTAATTTTTTCTGTTTTGGTTAGTTTTACTTGGTTATTGTTGATTACTTTTATTTGTTTATTTTTAGTTATTTTATTTTTTTGTTTTGTAATTAAGTTTTATTTAGATTAATTTTAAGTAGTATTTTAATATTTATTATATTTATGTCTTAATTTGAATTTAAACTGTTGTTTGATTCTGCAACATTTTATGATTTTATGTTCATTACAAGATTTTCTGAAATAAATTAAAAGAAAAAATTAATTCAAATGAATACTGTAATGAAATGTTTAATTGATTTGGCAGTAAACTATAATCTTGGTCTTGACACATTCAAATTCTGTGAATAAATTAAAAGTATTTAGTTTAAAAAAAAAAAAAAAATTTATCTGACTGATCTCTAAATATTTTGCAAATATTATATGATTATTTTTTAATGGAATTCTGTTCTTATTTGTCTATAATTTTAAGGATATTTTTGACATTATTAATAACAACAGTTTCTAATGGAAGATGGTCTAATAAATTAAAGTTTATTAAAAGTTACTTTTGAATGTGCAGATCTCTTACATGAACTACACTGTTGGTATTCAAAAGCTACATATGACTCATAAACTGTATTTTGTCCATCATTGCTACATGTGTTTAGTAAGACAAGTTTTTAAGATTCTTATCAAGTAAAGTTGAATGTTCAAAATTACTAATACATCACACATTATATTCTACATTCACTTTCTAACTGAGACTATTCAAATAATGAATAGGAAGCACTATTATCAAAGAGCCACATTTATTTTTAAAAAATTCTATGTTTAAAAACGTTCACAATATGCATTTTGACCTGATACGAAGTTAGACCCTGTTCAGAATTTTTTAAAATAAATGTGGCTCTGATAACAGTGGCTCCTTTTCATTAGTTTGATAGTCTCTGTTATAAAGTGAATGTAGAATATAATGTGTGATTACAACTTTACTTGATAAAAATTTGCACAAGCCACCCTGAATATAAAGCAATTTTAGTTTTTGTTGAAATTTTCTTTTTACTTACATATAATTTTAATTCTTTACATAGTAGTACTGTTTCCTACATAATGTAATTTTTGCCTGTAAAGACTCTCTCTCATCTCTGTTATTTGTACTGTTATAAAGACAAACTTCTATAAAAATCAGTCTATTGTCTTTGGAAGAATTTTTGCAAAATGTACATGATTTTTTGATTCATTTACACAGTACTGGTATATTACTGTATGTTGGATATGTTGAAACTTGTGTTTTCTTCTATTTATTTATTATTTAAAACAAAAGTTTTAAGTAATAAATAAATAGAAGAAAACACAACTTTCAACATATCCAACATACAGTAATATATGTAATTACAGTAACACCATCAAATTTTTCATATAACCAAAGTCCTATATTATCTGTGTTGTATATTTTTATTACTGGTTTATGATTATTAATGAAATAAGGGAACTTAAAAAATATAAACAATTGAGATACAAGACTATAATTACTTTCGGAGTTTATGCTTTTTCATTACTTTCAGTTTAAAAATAATTAAAATAATTTGTTAACATTACAAATTATAACAAATAGATTTTAATAGACAAATATTATTATGTATTAAATCTTTTATATAAAAGTTAATATCCATAATTTTTATTTTTATTGTAGTTTTTGTATTATAAACTTTTACTGATTTAAGAAAAAACATGAGAAGTTTCTTTCTATCAATTTAAACAAATATGAAGCAAAATTCTAGGTGTTATACAATAATTATTTATAATGAAATTAAAAGATATCAAGAATTTAACAAAAGTAAATAAATTCATATATGAATATTTAGTATATGTTTAATATAATATTAAAACACACAAGTTTCATATATAATGCAAGAACTAAACTATAAAGAAGAGTTAGATTACACAAAGAAGTAATAAATTGGTTTCTAATACTGATTTAGATTGGTTAATTTAATATTATATATACTTCTTATAGATAAATATTTAAATTGGAAATATTCATTATGAATTTTTTATGGATTAGAAATATTTCTATGATTAAAGAATATAATATATTTTTATTAAGTAGTTTACATAGTATAGTTTTTAAATTTTAATTATGAGATATATTTAAATTTAATCAATTCCATCTCATTTTCATTTTTGAGTTTAAACAATTTTCATATATTTCTTATTATAATCTATACTATAATATATATCATATGGATACAGATGTTATATTTTACTTTATTTAGTTTGAATTAGTAGCAGAATTGTTTGAAGAAAAAAAATTCACTAAATCCAAGGGAATTGTTCAGATTCATGCAGCCAAACCAATACAAAAAGCAGCACAAAAGAGTAATAGGAAAACAGTTGGATCTCAGGTAAAATTTATTTTATACTATATACTCTATATTTTTGAAGACATTATTTTATTAAATTATTTATTTCTATAATATTAAAAATCTTAATGTTTATAAAGTAATTTGAAAACTTGGGATATCTAACTTTTATTTAATTCTCCTTATTTATAAATACACATATTAAACTTAGAATTTCCAAACATTACTATATTATCATCAATTTATTCTTCAATGTGTTTTTTTTAATCAAATGATTATTTTTTATTTTTGATTGGAAAAATACATTATTTTGACTAGCTATTTAAATGTCAGTCTGTATGTAATGAACATGAAATTTTCTAGAATGTAGCTTCTTACCCAAATTAAATTTATAACTTACATACTTCTTAAATATTATATAGCATAATTTTTACACTTGCTATTATTAATGAGTTTTATAAAACATTGCATTGAATTTTATAAATTTTGTAAGAAAGAGTCAGATATTTATGCATTCACACACTGTTTTATTGAAATTAATTAAAAAAAAAATAACTTTCTAATTTATATATTTATTCACTTGTCCAATAGAATTTCTGGTTATTGTGGTCTTTGAACTGATCATTAATGTAATTGTGAATAGTTCATGAAAACATAGCAATAATAAAATTATATGTATGTTCACTTTATCAAAAATTCTTATTGCATGTTCTTGTGAGAATTTGGATGCAAGTGTGAATTTTTACACTTTGTGTACTGCGTCACATCGAAGGTGACTTTAATCATCCGGAGAAGGACTCCCCTCACACCAGGGGATCGTTCTAGTCTCACATAGATATAAGGTATATAGAGTAACCAAAAGGTCACCAACGAGGCTAAAACAAAATCCCATACTCCCCTCTGAGTCCGAGAGAACCGATGAGAAAGTCGATCTAAATGACCAAATAAGGCAATGATTTTTCTTAGGGGGTGAGATGTAGTCTGACATGAGTCACGTCATGTCAATAAATCAGGGAGTTTGACAAATTTATGATGGGAAATGTCAATTATTGGAAAGAAAGGATGACGATAATATAAACACAGCTATATGCAAGTCGGGCTGGTGATTGCATCAGATTTTCTTCCCCCATGATTCCCCCTCTGAGATAAGTATAAAAAGGGGTCAAATTTGTACCTCCAGGCGGATAGCCAAAGAGGACCCCGCCAAGGCAACACCCTCAGCGGACAGCCGACGAGGATCTCTACAGTTGGAGATCAATGGAGCGTACACCCCTCTCGGACATAGCCGAGTGAACATCCCAGGACATCAGTTCCATACCGCCATCCAAGGGAACTTTGATTAGAAACAGCCGATCCCAGTGCATCCTACCAAATCCTATATGAAGAGATCGAATCCTACGAGGTAAACCCTTGCCCGAATGTTGTCTCTCTCTCCAACACATCCTCTTAGAGAGGTCTCTCTTGATCTTTAGTTTAGGATAGTATGTAGATATAGAATAGATTCCTTTTATTATTTATGCATGTGTTGTTTATGCTTTTTTCTTTGATATGTATAATCTCTTAGTTGTTTATTAAATATGTTGTTATTGTTCAACCCGTGTAGTTATTTGGACACCTCATCATGACCTCATGACCTCTCCCCACTCGATTTGCCCTCCTAAGCCATCTGACAATCGAGAGCGGGTTTTACCAACCCATGCAGATTAAGTGGTCATTACGGAGCAATCCAGTGGCCCCCTGCTACCTCACATTCTAATACAGATTGATTACATAATAATTTTTATAAAAGGTTGTTGCATATTTTAACATCAAATTTAAAAGAACACAATATTACATACATATATATATATATATATATATTNCAAATTATATAAAATATATTGTTTCAATAAATTGTCATTATGATTGTTTATAATAATTTCACATATTTAGGATTTTTAAATTTAATTAATATTTTCACGTGGCACATTGAATTTTAAAAATATTTTAAAATGTAGTTACGAAAGATAACTGTAACACTACATCAACTGCTTTATAACACTGGGCTATTTATTGGCGATAATAATTATAAACTTACTAATAAACTTGACCATAGAGAGAGACATTAGATACCATCTTGTATTAAATTTAATAATTATAATTTAATTAAATAATTTTAGATTAAATTGGAAGAAAAGAATCAGCCCAGAGTTAGGCTCAAACCCACAACTCCCGCTTGCCATGCGGATGCATTGCCAGTCATGCTACCCAGACCTCCGGTCTGATCTTCTCTTCCAGTATATTTAACATTATGATATAACCATCATTGGTTATTAGTAATTTATAATTATTATTGCCAATAAATAGCCCAATGTTATACGGTAGTCAATGTAGTGTTATTGTAATTTATCAGGTTTCATAAGATGTTTATATAATTTAACTAATAATAATTTCATAAGATTAATAAACTTACATTTATGGGATGTTTAAGAGAATTGGTCAAAAGTATCTGCAATAACAGTTTTAGTTAGTATACAAGATTTAGTATCACACTCCAATAAACAGAATATAAATAAGTAAAATGTTTTATTGGAATTAAAAAACATAGAAAATAGGTTTTTAGCATTTTTGATTATGCTGGAAACTTATTTTCTGTGAGTACTATTTTTTCAGAATAACAACAAAATGTACTTTTTTATTGGAAATGAATTTCTACAGGGTGACAACAGAGTTTTGAGACAACTTTTTACTTACATGTTTCTTTGTGAATGTAACTTTTTAAATTTAAATAGTTCTATATTCTGGAACATTATTTTGAATATTAAGTTGTTGATAATATCTTGTTCTCTAATGCATTTGTTATTACTTAGCTGAAGTGTGTTATTACATTATTATACAGTAATACCTCAACTTACGCTACCCTGACTTACGCGAACCCAGAGTTACGCAATTTTCAAATCTCGTTGATTCGTCTTTTGTTTGAGTGCCACGCAACTCTTGATTACTCATTCTGTAAAGTACTGTATTAATTTTCCGACTTTTCCAACGATTATCGACATGACTGTGTGCCAGAAATAGCCGTTACCTAATGGGTACTTTACACAGATTCGCATTAATGTGCCAGGCCTGGACTTTAAGCGTGCACCGAATTAAATAATGACAAGTTTGTCAAAAACAATCCAATATTTAATAAAATTTCTAGTAATAACTATATACAAAATTTAGTAAAAAAATCAAATAACAATTTATTCAACGTAAATCAATAAGAATCAACCCGACAAAACTCAAATCAATCTATTTTCTAACTTAACTCTATTCCCCTTTGGAATTTGACAAAAATTTCAAAGACTTAACTTACGTACAATAATTCTTATTAATTAAAAGTCCTATTGTCACCTCAATATACTAGGAACCTTTTTTCTCAACTCTCAAGACTTTCTCTAATATTCTATCTACAAATTGAATAACTTCAAAATCGCCTTGGAACTACTTTATCCTATCGGACACCTCTCTCTCGTTTGCTGCTATGAAGCTCGCCACGCTCGTTGCTAACAGAAGCTCACCTCAGTCATCTTCACTTGAACTTCGGTCTTTATACTGTGAGGTGACATCACAATTCTGAGTGAGATCACTCCCTTCATTTACATACTTATTTGCTAACAATAAAAACTTTGTCTGGCAGCCTGTTTTCCGACAATATTTGCTAACCTTTTACATTATTCTTTTTGACAATTTTCGGGATGTTTTATTTTTTAAGGTTTAGCAAGTTCCTAAGTTGTGCTTGTGGGGTCTCCCTCTTTTCTCGGTGTGGACTTACTTTTTTCCACTCGGCAGTGCAAGTGTGTGTGTGAGTTTTATCTACGGCACTTTTCTCTCGTCGGTGAGTTGGTTTCTTTTTTATTTTTAAGTTTCTAAGGTGAGTGGTGAGGAAACCTTTGTCCTAACAAAACATAAGCTCCAAACAAAAATAGAATAAAAGCAAAAATAAAAATAACTAAAAAATAATGCTTGGACTTGGTTTCTTACAACTCCCCCACACTATTGTTCAGCTTACATGTTTGGACGTTTCGCGTGGAATCAAAACATAGCTACAATTTATTTAGTGTTATTTATTTCTTTGTTTGTTTTATCTACGGAGACTTGAGAGACTCTGTGTGGTGATTTCTTGTAACCGTAAACGAATCAAAAGATGAGATAAGATTAACGAGAACATTCATTAGTTTACATACATCCGACTTGGATTTTACACAAATTGCGAAATTATACCCCGACTTACACAAATTCGACTTACGCGGTTATCGCTTGGTCCCACCTATTGCGTAAGTTCGGGGTATTACTGTACTGCAATAATCAACTTGCATAATACAGGAAATCAACTGTTGAGGATTGTTAAATTACTTCCTATTCCATGAGCAACTGTTTACAGGACCATAGTTCAATACAAGGAGATGGGTACAATCAAAGAATATTCTAGAAGTGGAAGACTAAGAACTGTCAATATGCCTTGAATGTGTGAGGGTCGTAAAAGCACGTCGAAATTACGACTAATTACAAACTTTTACGTCGGAGAGTTTTGAAGATAGAATCGAGTCAAGAGGGTGTGTTAATGACAGAACCCAGATGAGACAAACACTTTTTCGAATTGTAAAAAAAAAACGTGATGCGATGATAAACAACGGGGGAATATCGACAGAGAGAAAGAGCTTTGTCGAGATGCTTGTGAACAAGTGTCGGGTCGAAGCAATCGAGAGAAAGGGGGTCTAAGAACAAAAGAGACATCTGTTAAGTCCGAACGCAGTAGGGGATAAATGGCCACAAGAACATCTGGTGGACCGTTTAAGTTCAAAGGTGTCAGGGAGAAGGGCCATAATGGAGAAAATTACGAGCGCGAACATTAAAAGCCCCGTCATCACCTCTCCGACCTTTTCCCGACCCGGATTGGTCTCAAGTTTCGCCTAGAAACAAAGGAATGACCAATTGGGGTAAGGGAGAGAGTGAACGGGACCAATCAAAAGGGTGAGATTCGGGGAAAATCTTATAAAACCCCGAATCTCAAGGAGGAGAGAGATTCTCAGCCACTTCTCTCTGAAGAGGAATTCCCAGCCGATTCTTTACAGTTCTCCACTCGGACCAGGTTCTCCACCAGTGACCAACATTCGCAACATCACCGGACAGAGGCCCCTGTGCAACGGACACACTCCTGTCAAGCCTGGAACATCAGTCAGTGCCCGTTTGTCGATATCAAGGAGCTCCCACCAAAGCCGATCTAGATCGCATTGTTGTTGTCATTCTGTAAGTTAACCTTATGTCAAAATAAACGGTTTTCGTGTAAGACACTTGTCATCTTTGTCTCCTACCGCCACCACCCACATAAGGTTTGACCCTAGGTTTTCCTGACACACAATTAACGTATTGCGCCCTAAAGTCGGCGACCTTACAAATGTGCAATATCATCAGGAATCCAACAGTGAACATAGAAAAACTTGCTCTTCAGCTTGGTGTGAATTGTGTTTGAATCAATCTGGATAATAGAAAAGTATGAGCTTTGCCTTTTATCAAACAACTTCTTACTGAAAAAAAAAGATGTGAGGCTTCAAAGATATTGTCTTGAAGAAGAGACTTGCAGAACAATGCATTGTTTTTACTGATGAAAAATTGTTCATGAGTGCACAATTGTCAAAATGACAGAATTTGCAGTAAAAGTTTGGATGATTCAAAAGTTGTCACATACTCAACACCTTCAATAAGTCATGGTATGGAGTGGAATCTGTGCAACAGACAAAACTGCTAGTTTTCATTGACAATGGTATTAAAATCAATCATCAAATTTATACTCAAGGTGTTCTTGAAGTTTCTTTTCTTCCTTGGTCCAAGTCTCACTTCAGTACCAGAAATGGATCTTCCAGCAAGACAGTGCACTGGCCCAGATGATGGTGGAAGTCCAAGCCTTGTTTGATAATTATGGAATTGACTTTAGCTCATGGACAGAGTGGCCACCATATAGCCCAGACCTCAACCCCATAGTCTATAGCATGTGGTCAGTATTGGAGAGCAGAAAATGTGCTATCTAAAATCAAAACTTGGATTCCCTGGCTGCCCTGATCCATCATTGGGACAAAATATCTGTCAAGGAGGTGTGAACCATCTGTAACAACTTTATGAAGTATCTAAGTTTCTATGTCCAGGCACGTGAAGGTTATTTTATATAACAATTGTTAACATTTGTTCCTTGTATTGTGTTATAAGAATTTGTTGTTACTCAAATAATAGGAAGCTTTTACCGATAACTCGTAATAAGGTTTATGGCTCGAAAATTGTCATCTCTAGTCTACGGATCATCATCAACTGGTAATTCTTATAGGAACATTACATAATACAGGTATACCTCGCCTTACGTCGGTAATTGGTTCCAGGAAAACGACGTAAGTCGAAAAACGACATAAGTCGAATTTACCTGTCTCCGAATCTACTTATCACTAGGAAAGCATTTTAAATAATATATGGTTAATAAAAATCTATTTTAAGCTTACAAACAAATAAATTTTAGTTTTTAATATAGTACAAAAAANAGGGAGCCAGTATTTAAACGAGGCTTAATTTTCTAATTTTTAACGATACAATAGCGACGATTATTATTTTAAAAAATTTTTGTTAGACTTAACATTGATGAAAATTCAACGCGAAGTAGGTTAATAGCGATATACTAATTACGTGGAATATACTAATATACTACACTAATAATGGATTTTTTCATACTTTTCGGTTATTCGACTTTTCAATTATCCGACCAACCCCAGTCCCCAGTTGGGTCGAATAATCGAGGCTCTACTGTATATATCTTTTTCAGCATAATATTCATAATTTTCATACTATATTTCTTTTACATATATAGTGAAATTTAAATATGAGTGAGTTGCATAGATAGGGCATAAAAGAGTATGACTTGTTTTTTTTTTTATAGAGAGAGAGTTAAAGAGCAAGTACACAGCTTAATCTTAAGTTTTACTTTCTTCATATATGAAAATTTGCTGCAATCTATTGACAACTAAAGTTTTCATAAATTTTATTAAAAATGTACTAAACACATACAAAAACCAAATTTTTAAAAAAAACCTAAATAAAATAATTGTTTATTGTTTGGAACAAAGAAAAATTGATCCTTATTCAGGAGTTGCTCTGGAAAATTTTAAAAAGTTGCCAATAATTTTACCAGGTTATATTTTTTTTGCCATTTGAAATTATTTATCACCAGCAGTAGTTTTACTTATGAATTAATGCATGTGCTGGTAGCCATATGAGTTTGGAGTCTGGAAATCAAAAGTGATATTTTAAGTTGTCACTTAGAAATAGGAATCATTTTGGAATAATTTTTTAATGAATAATTCCAAATAACACATTTGATCACAATCCTTTAACAGTATTTAATTAAACAGTATTTTGCATATTCTGTTATGTCAAAATTTATATGTCTATTGAAAAAGATCAAAGTGAAAAAAAAAAGTCATCCCAAAATATTTCCCAAATTTTCTGTCAGTCAATAAAAAATCCCTAATATGGAAATTCTGAGTAGCATTGCACGAGAACTATCTTTGGTTTTCAATGTCACTTCCTGCTTTCCTGTTTAAACTTGCTATGTGAGATCATGAAATTGTTAGGTGTGTTGGGTGACTCTCATTGCACAGAAGCTCAACATTCTGCTGTTTTCCTGAAGCATTCTTTGTGATTCAGTTTCACACTGAATGTCGATATAAGCAGACTAGAATTTTTATTTCCAGTTTAGTAAAAATATCACAAAGTCGTTATTTTGGCACTATACAGTGCAACCCCTGATTATTGTTATTCAGACCACTTCAGATCTAAGGTTTTCTGACTCCATTTTTTTTACTTTGTCTTCATAATTAAATCTTATTATTTTCCATGAATTTTGATATTTATTCTCTAATAAATATCTAGTTTTTCTATCTAGTTTTTACTATAAACTGTGGTCTTTGCTAGACCACAATTTTAGTGAGCAACTCTTTTAAGTTGACTGTCATGAAACTTAAAATATATTTAGCTTCATTGTTTGATGTCAATGCCATGTTTTGTCAATTAGATATACTGATCAGAGTTTGACTAGAAATTATAATTCCACACTTGTTAGCTCAAGCAATGGCTAGCAGGCTTAAAACACCATTCTATTATGGACTGTAAACTAGCTTTTATTCAGCAAGAAATGTTTATTTTTGGTATGCATTGTAACACGTTTTTGTCAGCATATATGCTGATTAACTTCTACTTTTGATTCTTTTGTAACTATGTAGAGGTAATGCTTTTGCATTTCATTTCGAATAAAATAATAATAGCAAAATTAATGTGTTATAAGATTTCTGTCTATAATCTACTAAGAGTAATAAGTAAGTAATACAAGCATATTTGCTTTTCATTTACAATTTTTAGACAAATCTCACACCTTTCCATTTTCTGTTTAACACTTAAAGCTACAGTAATGCATTTTGCATTTTTTCACCCTCTTCAGCTGGATTACATAATGTGTAGATTAAATCATTTATATGTACATTTTATATGTATATTACTCTTAGCAAAATTAATCTTTATTTTTATAATAGTTTTCATTTTTCTATTATAAAATTCAAGACAATAGTAACTCAACTCAGGAAATAGTATTTCTGAATGCTATGGGTGTATTTGGATGAAAAATTGATTATTGTAATCATTTGAAATATTTCAAATGATTTATTTGCCTTTTTTTTTTTTGTGTGTGTTTAATCTTAAAATAATTGAATTTTGAATTGAATGATTATACAATTTTGAAATTATTCAAATCAGTCTATTACATACTGTTCAATATTTTGGAAAATACTAAATCTTATTTACATTTGCATTTTGAAATTGATTATTTTCTATATATTATTTGTTTTTATTCTTTAATAATAAATTTTTAATATTTTTGTGATTTTCTTTTAGTTTTTTTGAAAATTGTGCACCTTAAAGATTGAAATATGCATCAGTTTTAAATAGTTTGAATATAATTTTCTTAATTTAATTGAATTAACATGATTTATTTATTTCTTAGTTTCATGATTCTTTGGGACTTCTAATGTCTACATTAAATGCTACTACACCACATTATATTAGATGTATTAAGCCAAATGATGAGAAAGCAGCATTCAGTTTTGAACCACGGCGTGCTATTCAACAGTTACGAGCTTGTGGTGTTTTAGAAACAGTCCGCATTAGTGCAGCTGGTTATCCATCACGGTAAGAAATTTTTAAATTAAAAACTTTGTTTGTAATATTGTCAATTATATGTGTCTAACAAATAAAATTCTCTCTGATTTTTTTTCAGTTAATTTGAAAAGAGATTTACTATATAAATCTATAAATAACTTTTATAATATTAAGTTTTATGTAATGGTAAACAGGTAAAAATTATAATATGAGCCAAAAACCACTAATAAAACTCAACTTTCTATTCTTAATGAACTATCAAACCACCTTCAGTTACTGAGAAACATTTTATTAAACAAACACAAACGTTTTTAACCTAATGCAATCAGCCATCTTCATCTTCAAGTGTAACCAAATTCGAACGCCTTTTCAAAATGGAACATTTTAACAAAGGAATGTTTGAACCTTCATATTTTAAATTTAAATCAGATAAATTAATATTTAAATACAAATATAAAATATTTTAAACAAACACAAGATAATATAAATAATAAAATAAATGTGGGATTGGAGACACCAGTGTGGGGTTTTAGGAAGGGAGTCCAAAAGGNGGTAATTGGCCCATATTTAGATGTTGGAGATGTAGAGAAAACCTGGAAAACGCCACGTGATCAGCCCGTCCTTTCAAGATGTAAACCCACAACTGAATTACAGTGTTCAGGAAACTGAACCTCTTAGCCACTGGTGGATGGAAAAAAATTAAAATAATTTAAAATAAATGCTTTTATTTGAAAAATATAGGTGCATATTTCAGCCTACATTGTTTACAAACTGGTTGACCTTGAGAACAGCTGGTGTCAGCTTTCCCGGGTAGTTCTCATATATGCCTCAGGGTAATATTGGTTTAAAGCAGGAGGGGAGCTAACTTACTGCAACTATTCAAATATAACACAAAATTTTCGATTTTTATGCTATTAAAATATGTAGGGACCAAAAAAAAAGTATGGGAAAAAATTTTACAGAATAAAAAAAAACAAAAAAATTTGCTGATGTCATAAAAAACATCCAGTAGCATTTAAAAAATCTTTACAGATGTCAAATCTGTGAAATACAAGTTTAGAACGATTTTATTAATTTGATAAAAAAAAACTCCCATAAAAAAACAATAGCGGAATTAATTGGCTAATTAATAAATCGTCGTAAAAATTTTTGCGGCAAAAATAATCCATGAAATTTGCATAGGTGATAGATAAAGATGTATATATATTCTGATCCATACATTTTTGGAAAAGTTATAAGTCAAAGCTTTTTTTATGGTCCTTTAAAGTCCATGCCCGAGATATCTCAGGATATGGACTGTGCAGCGTCATGCGCAGCCCAAGTTATCTCAGGTTATGGGCAGAAGGGGTTAATTCATCATTCTACATAAGCATTTGGAGTTTTCTGCATTTTGATGAAAGTAATAAACTATAAAACAACTACTGTAAAGTTTGTAACATAATCAATGTCTAGTGTTAAATAGTTTTATTATTACAGTATTTAAAATTCAACTGCCATACTTTAATGTTTATGGAAAGGAATGAAAAGCTTGTAAATTATAGGATTTTTGAATTTTTATATCTATAATTATATAATATATGCATAAAATAATCATAATTTACATAATAATTTAATTAAAATTTAATTGAAATGTAAAAAATAATTTATGTTTAGTAACATCACTTGGGCAATCTGCATAGGAGGGATGCCTTTCGGGAGGTCTTTTATGGGTAATTGGCCCATATTTAGATGTTGAAGATGTAGAGAAAACCTGGAAAACGCCACGTGATCAGCCCGTCCTTTCAAGATGTAAACCCACAACTGAATTACAGTGTTCAGGAAACTGAACCTCTTAGCCACTGGTGGATGGAAAAAAATTAAAATAATTTAAAATTTAGAATATAATTTTAAAATTTTCCATTTAAGCATATACAGTATGTTTGTGTTATTTGTTAGTATTGTTTAAATTAGTGATATTCTATGATAACAAAATAACTTTGTTTTATTTTGAATTTTTTTTGTATTTAAATATAATAAAATTAAACTTATTCTATTATATTTTTAGATACATTACAGCAATATTACAAACAAACTTTGGAATGGGTAGGCGGAAAAGTTCCCTTCGGAATTGCAAATATCAGAGATTATGTAAATACATCCAAGATTCCCAACGAAAATGCTATTATCGATTATGAAGAAAAAGAAATAGTTAAAGCATGGTATTCTTAAGCAAGTAAAATCATAATTAATAATGCTGTTAATCTTTTCAAATCTAAAATATAATAATAATTAATATTTAAAGCTGGATTTTAGTGGGCTATCTTTTCATTAGACTTAACTTAAGGTATTAAATAATTTGGATTAAAGGTTAGGCTAGCATTAATGTTTATATTAATTTTAGATATTGATTTAAATAATGTAAACTATTCTAGAAGAAAAAATTGGTCTGGATCTGAGTTTCTTCCTTCTGTATACTGTACAGATATATTACTAATTATACTTTGCAGACCTCCATCCAGATTTTGCTTGAAGACTTATTAATTTGGACTATATATTTGGACACATTAATTACAATGCTGACTGGTGTAACTTTTCACCAAAAGGTCTTTATAATATTTTGCTGATTTGATAGTCTGAAAAATCTGGCTTTGGTATTTGGTAATTGTAGATTTGGCTTTAATTGTTGTTAAATATAAAATACATCTTCAGTTAATAATTTACAATGAAAAGCTATACAGGTATCCCTTGTTAGATGCGAGATTTGATTAATGCGCAAAATTAATTGCGGCATTCTTTTATATATGCTGTAGAAGTTTAATTCACAAGGCTTAACCTCTGTCTTTACTAACATTGATACTGTATTTGATTAACGCAATTTTGATATACATGGTAGCATCGAGGGATGCTACATTTATCAAGGGATACTTGTAATACTATGTATTAAAAAAGAAAGCTGGCAACATTATTACTGGACTTTCTCAGCATTCTTTTATTTGTTTTTCATCCTTAATAATTGTTACCATTACTTTAAGTCTTAAGATTTACATAAAATTACTAATATGACTTTTATGACATCTGTTTGCTCTGAGTTTGCTATATAGATAGAACTATTTATAGAATTTTGTTTAATTGTTATATTATATTTTACAGGACACCACAAAAATGGACTAGTTTAAATTTATTTTACATTTGTTCACCTAAAAAACCTTTTATATGGTTGGATCATTGGCATAAACATCGTCTTAACTGGTGGAGAAAGGTAAATAGTAATACATATTTTATTAGATAGAAAATAAAAACCTTTTCATCATGAATAGCAACCATCAATTTTTGGAAAAGTTTAAAAATCTTCATCCTTTTGTATACTAAAAATCCAAATTATATATTTTTTTTATTTTCAAATTTTAACTTTTCTTTTTTAAGTATTGTATTTAAGTAATTTCTAATGTATTACTGACAATTACATCTGCCAACTTGTTAAAATCATGTTTTTAAATATTATTTTATTGTTGATGTATGAATCCAGTAGAACAGTGGAGCAGTAATGGCTAATAGAACAGTGAATTTGTAGATTAAAATTAAACCAAATGCTTAGTTCAGGAAATCAAATACAGTCAAATTTCAAATGACAACCACATTTAAATAGTGTCCATTTTTTGGAAACTTTGTTTTGAACAAAAATACATAGAAAATAACCTCCAAACAATGGTCAGTTCTTATGTTCCCAACAGTAGAACTGTATAATTTGTTAGTTTAAAGCATGTTTGGCCATTATTCTGATCATTTTTACCTTATAAAAATATCCAACAATGTTAAACAACATATTTTAGAACAAAGAATATTATCTTAGAATTGATGAAATTAGAATAATTATCATTTACAGTTAAATTATTAAAATTTACAAAAACTTAAAAAATTTTTCTCTAGCATTGACAGTTTTATGATGAATATTCTTTGTGTTAAATAACTTTATTCATATTCATAACTTGTTAACATAATAGTTTCACTTATAATTCTGTTCTAATATTACCTATGACAATTCTACTTTAGAATTATTTATTTTAGTAAAATATAATGCATTTTAAATTCATTAAACTTCAAAATAATCTTTTTTCAGTTATTATATACAAATATTATGAAAAGTGTAGATGCTGTTCAGTTTAGTAAGAAAACAGTTTGAAGCTGTCAGATTTGCTGGAAAAGATGATGTATATCAAATGGAGAATGATCAATTCTATTTCTATAATTATATAATTTGTTTACAGCATATAATAATTTATATATACTGCAACTAAGAACTAAGCAGCTAATATAATTAAGCAGAATTAAGAACTTAGGTTAAACATTTATTACATGTTTGATTATTAATAATAAAGTTTTGAAAGCCAAAATCCTTAATAAAAATGGCACTTTTAGTGAATTATATTATGCCAGCTTTTGCATACAAGCATGCATTTAACAGAAGAGAATAATTAAGGCTTTCAGTGCGTGTTTAATGGTACGTTTTAAAATATACATGGTTTTGAATTGAGTTGTATAATTTAATTTGAAAAATGTAATAATCTAATATTGTATATGTTCTTTCTTATCANATATGATTTTATGTGCTTTAAACGTTTATCTAGTGATATTACGACTTCAATATTTGTGGCGGACAGACGTAAAGTCGAATAAAATGACTTAAACTTGATTTTTATTTTTCCATATACTTTTTTAACAAGCGACGTATAATCGGGAACGACGTAACTCGAAACGACGTAAGTCGAGGTATGCCTGTACTGATGATCTAATAAAATAATTAAGTCAGATTTGTTATTGAGCTACATTTTGGCTAATTAAATATATATACCTTGTAATATATATGAATTTCATACCTTGTAATTTTTGCTAAAGGCATCTTATATGAATATCCATCTTGTATGAAGTTTAATAATTAAAATTAAATAAATAATTTATAATACAGGTAACCCCCGTATAACACAGGAGCTATGTTCCAAAAAATTGCCGTGTTATGCAAATCTGTGTTGTTATATTTTCATAATTAAGATATATATCTTTATTAATTTAAAATTTTCTTAAGTAGTGATACATATTAATATAAATTAAACAATGTTTTCTTCTTCATCACTAAGCACTATAAACCGAGGGCGTTTCCTTTTTGGCAAGATATCCTTATCCTCTGAGCATTTTTCTGCATTATCTTCAAATCCATGCTCTACCTTTTGCAAAAAATGTGTTATTCTAGACTGCTTGCTTTTACAGTAGTTAAAAGATCTTTATAAATTTTCTTATATGGTGCTAAGTACTTATGAAGAACAAAGCAAGTATGGAATAAGAAAAAACATCTGGCACCACAAACCAAAAGTGTCAAGATCTGGCAACACTGAAACAAGTTTTGAGAAGGACAACGTGTATCAACAGAAGGCGAGGAAAAGTTTACATACTTAAGCACTAATAGTTCTTGAAAATTATGCAAGGAAATCTGACAGTACGTACATGATTGAATTAAAAATGTCAAATGAGGTATCTTTTGCACTTAAAAGCTTTATCACGTTTATCGAACTGTTGTACGGGGGATTTCCGTAATATCAAATTAGATAAAGTTTGCTTTTAATAGTTTTTATTACTGTACGTTTCATGTTGTACAAGGGTTTTACCCAATTCTCGAATCGTGTTAGAGTGAATCCATGCTATAGAAGTGCCGTGTTTTATGGAGGTTACCTGTAATCTGGAAGAGATCTTATTTCTATATTTAATTAGCCAAAATGCAATCTAATAATAAATCCAGCTTAATTATTTGATTAGTACTATGATTTTGGCTTGGTTTCTTATATCATTGGATGTTTTACTTGCTTTTGAAAAATTTGTAGTTTGGTAAAAACAGCTTAAATATGCTGATGTTTTATAAATGAAATGCCTTCCATTTATAGAATGTAAATGACCTGATGATGATCAGTATTGATAAAAAACAGTCAGTATATTTTTTTGAAATTAAAGGTCTTTTATGAATCTACAAAGGTTGTTTAAGCTGTGTTTACTGTACTGTTATCCAGTGAGTGGCAATTGTTAAATTAAAAATTGTAGTTAAGCAAATTACAATTGACGGCTATTAAATAGAAACTATATAGTTTAAAATGTCAAGTAAAATGCATTTTTTAATCAACTGAGAAAGTCTTAATATAACACTATAAATGTTTTTGAAGGTTTTAAGTCTTTTGTCATGAAATGCATCATTTGAATGTTATTCAAACCAAAATTGAATGTTTTGATAGAATATCTTTAAAATATTGCATGGAACTTTCTGATGACAACTTTCTGGTTTCTAGGATATAACAAATAAGAATGTAAATTAATTAAATTATTTAAATACGGATTATATGCAAAGAAAAATTATGTTTTTAAAAACTTTTGTAATCATTGCTGCACAGAATGAGACTTGTTTCTGAAATTTTCCCAGGTAGTAATGAACAGTCTTTATTGAAAATTGATGTCATAATCAATGAATGAATTTTTTTACACAAATGATTCAAATTTTGTTCTCCAGTACTTTTTATTTACTATCTGATCTAGTAAAACATTTTTTTATGATTATTGAAAAACATTATCATTATCATTTTGATTTTTGATCATATTTACTTTGTATCTCAGAAAATAGTTATTTTTTGATCCATACACACATTTTGTTAACCACATTAAAAATATCACATCAGTTCACATTATTATAAAATTAACCCATAAAAAATCCTGATCCTGAATTAAATAGAGATTATTTGGCTCATGATTACAAAAAATGACAATGATTTGCACAATATAAAATCTCTAACATAGCATACGAATGAAAAATAATATACAAATGAATCTGTAGAAGAGAACAATAAAAATAGTCAATTGTCATAATTATTTTGTTTCTTATTCTAATGATGCTTTTACATGTTTATAAAGAACACTATCCTGGAACTTAACTGCTATAACTTACAAATTAGATATAAAAATATTTAGTGATAAGGTAATAAATTATTGTTATCTAAAATTCTAAATTTTTTTAATGTATAAAATTTTATTTAATTTATTGATTGTTGTTATGTTACAGGAAGAAGATACTTTTCAATTTGGAAAAACAAAAATTTTCTTTAGAGCTGGCCAAGTTGCATATTTAGAAAAATTAAGAGCTGATAAATTGAGACATTGTGCTGTTATGATACAAAAGCATGTGAGAAGATGGCAACAACAAAAACGATACTTACAGATTAGGAAATCTATTATTAATATACAGTGTTATGGAAGAGGACTTTTAGCTAGAAGGTATAAAACTTTAGTTTTTTTAAATACATAATTTCTCAGCTTTATAATAAGATCAATTAGAGAGAAAAGTTAACATAATTTTGTTTATATTAAAGGTAATTAGAATAATCAGATTTACTAAGTTAATGATTATAAATCAAATGATTTTGCATTTGTCAGTGTGTGCAATGTTTAAAATAGAATTATATTTTAAATAGTATATTATAGTTCTTTAATTTTAATACAATGATGAGTATAAGATGTATTATTTATTTAGAAATTGAAAGTGTACAAATTTTTTATTATAATTAATCTACAGTAACGTAAAACTGTAAATTTATTTGTAAACTTACAACTTTTATTTTGATTGAGATGCAAAAATAAATTAACGGTATATATACCCCACAACACTATTCATATGCTGTTTTACATACATATATTTTTGTTTCATTGCTAAATTATAATATAATTTTTTTTGAATGTGCATTTTAAATGACATATCAGAATGAAGTAAACCCTGGGAAGATTTGCATAATGAACAAAATTTTAAATTACAAAAGCAATATTATAAGCCAAATGAATAGTATAATTATTAATAAAAAAAATGTATATGAAAAGTATATTTACTGATTTATCTTACACTACTTTGGTTTGTTGAAATTGAATCAAGAAGAATGTTTTAATAAAATATTATTTAAAATTCAAATTTCAAGCAATGTTCTTTGAAATTTTAATTTTAAACAACATTCTATTGGAACATTTTATATCCAAAATTATAATAATTTATTCAGATATATCTATTAATTATTAAATCTGAAGCATACTTTAAATGATAAACTTTGGATAATCATTATTTCATAGATGAAATGAATGTGCAAAAACTGTGAAATAAAAATTATTATTATTATTATTATTATTATTATTGATTTGATACAAAAAATTAGGTTTTAATTAAATTAATTATAATTTTCTATAAAATTTTTTCATTTAAATTTGAGTTTTTCAGTTATTGAAAATGCTGATTTGTGGATTATATACTATATAATTTGACTGCAGTAACATTATATTAGCTTAAAAAAAACACCTATTTGTAGAATTCTTCAGATATCATTACATTTATACTTTAAAGAAAAAAATATTCCCAAAAGAATATACATATTTAAAATTTTAAATATTACAATTCTAAAAGTTTTTATAAATTAATTAAAAATTAAATTATTAATAATTTCACAGAAAAATAAATAGATTTACTAATAAGGTACAGTACAAATAAAATTAATAAATGTAATATTTAGTCAGAAGTGCTTGCAATATTGAACTATTGATCAATATTAGTACATCATGTAATTTATAAGTTAGCTCATTTACAGGTGTTAATTTAATTATAATAATGGATTCCATATGGAAAAAATAAGGGAAAGTTTTGCAATCCATTTTATAAGCACAACTGAATCCTATGACATTGAAAATCATAAATAATGATTTCAGTATTGATGTAAATCATGGTATCCAATGTTTTTACTCATTTTTGAATGATAAGGTGTCTATCATAAGCTATGCTATTTATACTTAAGAACTGCATATTTAGTTCCCAAAGCTATGGTTTACGATCATTACCCTGTTTTTAACACACTGCATTTCAAGACAAGTTGAGGAAATAAAAAAAAACTCATAGTTATAACATTGATATACTGTATTTATGTTATGATCATACTTACAGGAATCTTTTTGCACAGTTCAAAATTGAAGAAAGCATGCATGAATGCATACATACATGGCATCACTTTGACATATGGCATGATGTTAGCTTGACATGGATAATCAAAGATGTTTAACTTACAGAATTTGGTCCAGCAGAAAAGGGAAGAGACAAAAAGAATGCAAAAAAAGTAATGGTAGTAGTAGAGCTTGTAATAATATCAATTATGACTTCTTTCTTAATCATCTTGTGCCCACCAGTGGTCAAGTGGTTTAGTACTCTGAACACTGTGAGTTCAGTTGTGGGTTCATGCCTCACTTGGATGGGCTGGCCACATGGAGTTTTCTGGGTTTTCTCCACATCTGTAATTCCTAAATAGGGGTAGTTTCCCTTAAAAAAAAAAAAACCTTCCAGAAGGCATTCCCCTAGGCCAGGGGTGGCCAACAGTTTTTGCCCCTGGGCCGAATTGGAAAGAAAACTTTTTTTCACGGGCTGAATTAGAGGCTGCCCTAGGAAGATTTTGAGGTGGTGCGAGATCTCATTGTGGTGTCACCTTGTAGAGACTAAATTGTACATAGAGATTACAGATACATTTTTCACATTATCATGCTTTATCAATGTTCTACACTGTATTTAAAAGATTTGTAATGGAGGGTTAGACAGCGAGTTGTTGCTTGTTTTTTTTTAGATGTTAGAACTTTTCACTGAGCTATTCTGACTTGAGTAGCTAATGCTAATATTGAAAGATTAATTGCAGGCCATATGTTGGCCATGCCTGCTCTAGGCAGATCGCCCAAGTGTTGTGTTGCCATAATTTAACAAACAAACTTAATCATCTTAATCCGAATGTAATCAAGAGTCATGGCAATGATTCACTGCCAAGTAAAAAAAATCACTGACTGACTATACATACATGAATCATAGTTGCTGATTTTTGGGGGTCAATTTCTCCACCCCAAATGTTTAAAGTAATTCTGAATATCTCGTTCAAAAGGTAATTGTTTGCTTAGGTAGTGTACAAAATTTTAAGATTTTCTATAAATCAGTTGCCAAAATATAAGCATTTGAAATGTGCAAAAATCATCAAAAAAACTGTATTTTCTTCTTTTTCTTCATCCAGCACTGCAGATGCTTGTAGAGAAAATATACTGGGTATATAAAGCTCAAATTTTAAACTTTAGCCTTTTTCATTATCAGTGAGGTGCTTGTGAAACTTCTGGGTTGATAGGTCAAAGTTTATGGGGGTTTCCCATAGAACTATTTCAGTTTTACGGCTTAATTTTATGCTTATAAGGATAAAATTGCATTAAAACAAATGAATTTTATTCAAAATGTTATTTAGAATAACAAAGGCTCAAATTTATTTGAGCCTTTGTTATTCTAAATAACATTTTGAATATTGAATTAAAACTTTTTATAACAATAGTGTTAGTCTAAATTCAGAAGCTTACAGAATAAAATACATTTATTGTGTATTTAAATTTAAAAACTAAGTTGGACATTCTATCTATATATAATTATTATATACAAATTAAACAAGTATATTTATTTATAATTTGCTACTTAGGTATGCCAATTTTTTACGTCAGACAAAGGCAGCTATTGTTCTTCAAAAATATATTCGTGGATTTTTGTGGCGAAAAAAATATCTTCGACTTCAAAAAATTGTCATTGCTATTCAGTCTTATGCTCGTGGTATGTGGGCCAGACAGAAATTTTACCAACTTCGTTGCAATGTTGCAGCTGTTATTATTCAGGTTATTTCTCTTAATTTTATATATAATACTTAATATAGATCAAATCAAACTCCAAATTTTTGTATTTATTTGTAATATTTGAAATATATAGCTAAAATTTATATTATAAATTTTGTATTTTAAAAATGATGATTATTCATGTACTTAAAAGTACAGTATGTATATAAATAATTAATGAATGAACCTTTTATTACTTTTTTAAGATAATATATTTAATTTAATAAAGTATTTTATTATAAATTAAATTTAAAATAATTAAATTTTAGTTTGTTAGTATCAGTTTATAACCTCAATATTTTTTTTGTATATTTTATAAATTAAATATGATATAACATAACATAAATTTAAAATTTAATAAAAAGTAAAATACATCTGGATAAGAGTCCAATTTTGCTTGCCATGTCCAATCACCAATAAACTGTTTTACATATTTGTGCAGAGGCATAGCCTCTAAAGAAAGGTTGTCTCTGCAATGGAAATAGTTGTTCCTGGTGATTGGACATGGCAAGCAAAATTAGACTCATATCCAGATGTATTTTACTTTTTATTAAATTGTAATTCTGCCAGCCCTTTTCTACAAATAAATTTAAAAGATAAATTTTTACTTTAAAAAAAATTAATACCTTTTTAGTGTGAGTTTTTGGTTGATAATATCTTTGTTTACATAAGTTTTACTTTTATTTTAACTTTTATTAATTTCCATAAATTTTTAATGGAAATTTTACTTTTGTTTTTACTTTTATTTTAATGTTTTTTTACTTCATTAGTAAATGTTAATTTTAATATTTAGAAATATGTTCGTGGATGGATTTGTCAAAAAAAATATCAAACCACAAGACAAAATATTATTATTGTTCAATCTTGTGTACGACGTTGGTATGCTAAAAGAATTTTGAAGAAACTAAAAGTAAGTTTTATATTTTAATTTTTCTGTTAATAAATATTATTGACATAGTAAATTATAAAATTATTAAAATAGAAACTTACTATTTCATGTTTTGATATTCACCTGCATCTGTTTTATTTAACTTTGTATCAAAATTTGTGTTTATTTTTATGATTTGTGCTGAAAACTTTACTTTTTTTTCTATTTTGCATGACTTCAAAATCAAATGAGATTGTTTTTCTTACTTCATCTATGGGTTTTTATAACTGATTTAAATGAAAATAAATATTGGCAGTTAATTAACTGAATTTATTTTTCTTGTCTAATTTTACAAAAAAATATTTTATTTACAATGATAAAATGGTTTGCATTCTGGATAAATGCAAATAGTTTATTAGAAAAGAGAAAAAGGTATTCTCTTTTACCTCAAAAAATATATTTGCTGATAGTTAAAGCTTTATTTTACTTTGTAATATTATAACAACTATTTTTCTGAATTTTATTACAAACTAGGTATGAATATATGTAAAATGAATGCACTTGTTTGTTTACTGCAATAATCAGATGATTAATATATAACTTCATGAGCAAAACAAAATAATAATGCTTTAGTGGAGAATACTTCTGAATTATAACAACTCATTTTCAAAAACACCATATAGAATATTGTTGTTATAGTAGCAAATATGCAGAAATATAAACAAATAAATTATTGCTATGGTTACAACAGAAATTATATAAAAATAAGTAATAAAATAATAAAGTAAATAATAATTAGAAATTTAAAATATTAAAAAAACTAACTACTATCTATAAACTGAAGTTTTTTTTAATGCTTTATAAAGCTATGTATTAAAATTCATAATAAAATTATAATGTAGGCATTTCAAAAAGTAATAGAGCAAAATTGACAATATTTTATGAAATGAATGTCCCAGGCATTCAAGCTCCCACTGAGATGATACATTCTTAGATAAGGTATTGATATGGTCTGCTTAATTGAAAGAGATGCATATACAAAACAAAATAGCTGTTTGCACTGTAGAGGAGCAGCAAGCAGTCATTAGATTTTTCTAGTTGGTGGGTATGAAACCTCTTGAAATTCTTAGATGAATGCTACAACAATAACAATATTCACATGCCTTCATTGATGAGAGAAGAGAGTACAAGTAAGAAATTGCATTTAAAAATGGGCAAACAGCAATCTGTGATGAGCAATGCTCCAGTCTTTCCAGCATGGCCATTACTTTTGAGGAGAGTTACTGAGGAGGAGAATTGTGCTGATGCCATTATTCATGAAAAAAGGTGCACTTTTTTTTTTAGACGTTCTGGACAGGGAATTGGATTTCAGTATTGGATTGGCATTTATTATTGTCATGGAGATTTTCAAGTTTCACAAGTTGTGTGCACACTGGGTGATCAGGATGTCAACTGATGAGCACAAGATAAATCATGTTCAGACTTCTACAGTCTTGGTCATACAGCATTTCCCATATAGCTCTGATCTTGCTCCCTCTGACTATCATGTGTTTGAACCTCCTGAAGGATACTTTAAGAGGCAAAGATTTGGGAATGATGACAAGATGAAAGAAACTGTACATTCCTGGCTGAATGCACAACCAAAAACATTTTTTTTCTGATGGAATAAAGATATTGCTGTAATGGTGTGAAAAGTGTATTGAAAAGGAAGGTGATTACATAGGAAAATGACATAACATTTGTATTTTTAATTGAATTGTATATATAAAAATATTCAATTTGCTGTTAGTTTTTGAAATGCTCAGGTAATTTTTTTTATTATAAATGGCAAATTATAATAGGCTTAAAAGACTTTCATATACTGTACATTTACCTCTGTTCTATAATATCCAGTTTTAGGTTCAACAGTTTTGTAATAAAACTCACTTTACCTTCTGACTCTCCTCTGTTCAGTAAAATAATTTGAACTGTATTACTTAGCTTTATCCTTATCTTCTGAAACATACAACACCACAAGAACGTGACCAAAATTAAGTATTTCAGCTATTTTTTAAAATCTAATATTAACAAAAGCTTCATTTATGTTGATTCTATCTGCATAAACCATCAATAGAAGATTTAATTGCAGTATTTTCTAAATCTAATTCTAACTTTTTTGGGTCAACTATTTCACTTTGTTACAATTTGTTTGACCCAAAAAAATTACAATAAAATCTGCTTCTACTTAATTTGCTCTCTAAAACCTTTTTATGAAGCTTAACAGAGAAATTAAAAACATTGTTTTAACAATTCCTTGGCTTTCTCAACTAGCTCTGTTTTACTACAATCTTTTTATTTTTAACAGTACGTTCATCATTTTGATTTAGTAATTCTGAATTTGTATTATTTCAGCAACTAAATTAACAAATTTTATGTTGATATAACATTTACTTATAAGATAGACAAATTTTTACTTTATGGAAATAACTCGGCTTTTTTGAATTTTGCTTTAAGTATTAATAACTATATTTTTTCTAGAAATTTCTACTACTATAATTAATTCTTCATTTTCTTATTTTTATCTTATATTTAACATATTGTTTTAAAAAGTTTTCACATTTTCATTAAGAAAAGATTTATCTTATTTATCAATGTTATATCAAACACTTTATTGCCTATATATTACAGAATCATTTTAAGCTTTTAAAATTGTAATTCTTGTATAGTAAATTTTTTCTCTTTGTGTATTATAAAGCATTTTATTACACTTTTTTGTATTGGAATTAATATCATAATTTATTACTTTTAATCTTATATCACAAATATTTCATAAGTTCCTTATAATTTTCTTCAATATATTAAAATTAATTTTAGCTTCTATTTAATTCAAGCTATTTAGTAAAGTATAAAACACAATTAAAGAAATAATAATAAGTTAAATATACTGTTAAAAAGTTTTATTTAATTTACTGAGTAGTATCAAATTTATTTGATCATTATCAGTTTATTAAATTAATTAGCTTAAAAATTTTCATTGCTATTTATTTTAGTAAAAAGCACAAAATATCTTTATATTCATAATCAGATATATTTAGTTAATATTAATATTCTTTTTAGATTGAAGCAAAATCTGTGGAACACATGAAAAAATTAAATAAAGGTTTGGAGAATAAAATAATCTCACTCCAGCAAAAGATTGAAGAAATTGTATGTATTTGTAATTTATAAATTTTTAGAATTATAATACAATTTTCTTTACAATGATGATGATACTATTCAGCTTAGAGAAAATAAAGGTTTGAAATCTCGAGAACAAGATGTTAAGAATTTAACAAGTCTTGTTGAAAAATCTAAGTCAATGGAAAATGCTTTAAAATCATCAAATAATAAAATCATTGAATTAGAAGAACAGATTGTACTATTGCAAAATGAATTGCAACAAAATATTGAAGAAAAAAAAGATTTGATTTCAGAGAAAGAATTACTGAGCAAAGAAAAAGATGAGGTATTACATTTTTATGAAGTTTTTTAAAACATATTTTATGTACTTTATTATATTATTTTAGATAATGAACTTTAGATAATAAATTTTAATTAATTAGATGAAATCACTTATTAGAATATTTTTTAAAGAAACAAGACGTTTAAGTGCATTAAAATTTTATAATTAATAATGTTCCTCTAATGATTTATTGATTTTATACTAACTTTTTGAATAGATTTGAATATTATTTGCATACATAGTCAAGAATAAGTTAATGGCTATTGAAGCAATTTTTAGCATTTTGTATAATATATATTTTCATAAATAAGTCCTGGACTTAATTACAGAAATTAAGAAATTTCAGCATAAATTATTGATGATAAAATTAAGCCCAGGTTTAGTTTTGGAAATTTATTTAATAAAAATATTCATTATCAGAAGAGGCATAGTAGTCATTTGGTTATGTATTGATNATGTGATTAAATGATAACATTAAAAATTTATATTTTAAATATATATTTTTTTATTAAATTTCAAAAATTTGTAATAATTTTTTAACTTTCATATGATAAATGAATTTTTACATCACACAACAGAAGGCCATTATATTGAATACATGTCATATTGTTAGGAAATTCCTGAATACAGACACACACACTGACACACTTACTTAATTTTTGTCTTGTTTTAGTTACTATGCCTTGACTCTGGTCTGACATAGTACACAGCCACTGGTATCAACTGAGTACTAAACCCAACATAATAATAGTAATCTGGTACAAAAAGTTTACATCACTGCACCAGGAACTAGCTAAACATCTAACACACATCATCATCAATCCACAAGACATGCCAAAATTTCTTATTCAGGACATCACCTACATGAAACCTAAAAACAACAAAACCACAGACCCCACACAATACAGACCAATTACATGTCTTCCAACACTCTACAAATTATTGACATCCTGTATCATAAACAAAATATACAAACATGTTGAAGAACACGACATTCTTACGGAACAATGAAAAGATTGCCGTAGAAATCACGGGATGCAAAGAACAGTTACTCATAGATTCAGTCATTCTACAGCAAGCACACAAACAACACATAAGCATACACATGGCATACATAGACTACAGAAAAGAATTCAACAGCGTTCCACACAGTTGGCTGCTACATATTCTACACATGTACAAAATACATCCATCATTCATTGCATTCTTCGAAAACACTATGCAGCACTGGAGAACAACACTGCATCTCAGGATCAGTAACACTTCCATACAAACAAATGAGATATTCATTAGGCGAGGAATTTTTCAAGGGGATTCCTTGAGTCCTCTCTGGTTCTGCCTAGCCCTGACCCATTATCCAACATGTTAAACAACATGCAATATGGCTACAATATCAGACATGAAAAAAACAACACAGTTTACGCTGTCACATCTCATGTACATGGACAACATAAAGCTTTATGCATCCACATAAAAACAACTTCATCAACTCCTACAAATCACACATTCATACATCAAGGACATACAAATGGAGTTTGGCCTAGATACGAGGGTCGTTCAATAAGTCCTTAGAAAAAGATAGAAAAACAAATTATTTTAGGTAGATTTTTTTTTTTTTTTTCAACATAATCTCCTTTAAGCTCTATACACTTTTCCAAGCATTTCTCCAACTTTTTTAAGCCATCTAAAAAGTAAGATTTCGGAAGGTCCTCAAAATAGGCATTTGTTTGGACAATGACCATTTCGTTTGACGTGAATCGTTGTCCACCAAGCCATATTTTTAAGTTTGGAAATAAAAAAAAAGTCACTGGGGGCCGAATACGGTGGATGTGGTAATAATTCAAACTTTAATTCCGTGATTTTGGCCATCGAAACTGCACAGGTGTGCACCCGTGCATTGTCTTGATGGAAGAGGATCTTTTTCTTTTTCAAATGAAGACGTTTTTCCTTGATTTCTTCGCTCAACCGGTGCAATAATGATGCATAATACTCTCCAGTTATTGTTTTTCCTTTTTCCAAGTAATCGGTGTAGATGATTCCACGTGTATCCCAAAAAACCGTGGCCATCACCTTCCCGGCCAATTTCACTGTCTTCGCCTTCTTTGGAGCCCTTTCGCCTTCAAAAACCCACTGTTTTGACTGTTCTTTGGTCTCTGGAGTATCATAGTGTATCCATGTTTCGTCCACAGTTATGTATCGATGCAGAAACTCGTCAGGATTGCGACGAAAAAGTGCCAAAATTGCCTCAGAGTCGACCACACGATTACGTTTATTCTCCATTGAGAGCAAACGCGGCACCCATCTTGCCGAGATTTTTTTCACACCCAATTTTTCGTGCAAAATTGAAAACACTGTACCTTGTGACATGCCTGTGGCCTCAACTATTTCACGCACTTTGATTCGTCGATCACTCAAAACCATATCGTGGATTTTGTCAATCATTTCGGGAGTAGTCACTTCCACTGGACATCCAGAACGATGTTCATCTTTTGTGGATGTACGACCATGTTTGAACTCATTTACCCAATTGTAAACAGTTGCAAACACAGGAGCAGATGTGCCATGAACTTCGTCCAACTCAGCTTTGATCTATTTTGGTGTTAAGCCTTTTAAATATAAATGTTTAATCACCGCTCGAAACTCACTTTTTTCCATTTTTCTAAATAAACAAAAGTTTCTTGCTTCAATTGACAATAAAAATTAAACCATATGATGGATATGACTGAGATTTTCACAACTGTCTAGTGAGATATCATGCTTACAAAAAACACGCCATTTTTGAGGCTACGAGCGCCATCTATTAGATTTTCTAAGGACTTATTGAACGACCCTCATAAATGCAAAACACTTCATATAAAAAAAGGAATCCTGAAGAAAGAAGAGTTTGCACTTGGAAATGGAGATGTTATTGAATCCATAAAAGAGGGCGAGTTCTACAAGTATTTAGGATTCCAACAGGCCAAACTAACAGAACATACACAAATAAAGCAAAGATTAATTAAAGAATACCAAATTAGGTTAAATGGTATTCTCAGAACACAAGCAATAAAGCAATAAGCACATATGTCATCCCAGTACTCACATACTCTTTTGAAGTTATATATTAGACTCACACTGATCTTGAGCAGCTCTAAAGGAAAACAAAAACAACACTTACTAAGCATAAACATCATCCTAAATTCGCTACAGAAAGATTAACCATTCCACGTAAAGATGATGGATGTGGCCTGATTGACATAGTTAACCTTCACTACAAACAAATACAGTCACTGCGAGAGTTTTTCTACAAAAATCAAGAAATTTCACAGTTACATAAAGCAGTAACTATACCACACTCAAATAATACACCATTAAATTTACACTCACAACATATAAAAAGCATAGACACCATCAAGCAATTGTGGGCTCGAAAGACACTCCATTACAAACATCCCTAAGACTTGGCCCAGGATTTTGTTGACAAAACTGCATCAAACAGCTGGTTAGATCGGGGATGCCTCTTTGGGGAGGCAGAAGGGTTTATGATGGCCATATCGCAGGGGTGTCAAACTGACAGTCCCTGATGTGATTTTTCACATCAGGGACTGTCAGTTTGACACCCCTGGCCTGTGGCCACAATGCTCTGAAATTAAATAAAACAGCATATAGATCAAGATTAACTGATAAACATCTATCTTCTATAGTGAAGATTGTTCTCAGTCTTTGAATCCATATTGGAAAACTAGGAGGAGGAAAATAGCAATGGCAAGTTTCCGGTGAAAACAATTAATTTTAGTTTTATAAATATGTACAGTACATTAAATAAAATAATTGTTTAAATAAAAGCAATACTATAGCAATTGTATATTGTTGAGTTGAATTCACTGAACTACATAATGTGTTTTAATTGCCCTACCTATATTCCCGCATTCTCACTTTAAATTATAGTTTTAAGAAAATTTGTAAATGTGATATGGCCCGCGTGAAGCTTACCAGTCGCATTAATGGCTTGTTATTTAAATGAATTTGACACATCTGCCATACAGGGTCAGGCCATAAATACTAAAAACTACAGAAAACACATACTCAAAGATACACTCACAAATGACACATGCAGAAAATGTCACGTCATGCCAGAAACTATGCAATGCATCACTTCTGGTCTTGCAACCAGAAGTGATGCATTTGAAAACCCAACCCCTGCTGGGTTTTTCTTCAGGTAAAGAATCGTTTACCTTTGTAAGTCAGTAATCAGACAATTGGAGAATACAATACTTCCGAATTTTCTCCAAAACATCATAATTTACAAACGCTACATTGATGACATCATCATTCTCTGGAGGGACTCTCCGAACATTACCCAGTTTTTGGGTCAAATGAACAACAACCCTATGGTCTTACCCTGGAGGTTGAGCAGCACAGCAACTCATCGGTGCATTTTCTGGATTTGAATATTGACTTTGGAGGACTGATCATACACATTTCTGTGTACCACAAACCATCAGATCATCCAGCATATATCCCAGCAGACTCTTGTGATCCTGTCCAACACAAGATGGTGGCGTTTAGGACCACTCATACTCTTCTACTGAAGGGGCTTTAGAACAGGAACTGCAATATCTATGCGAAGTGGCCAAACACCATGGCTACCACAACATCATACAAAAAATGTCGCAATGGTTCGGAGGAATGATGGCTTCTTCTAAAAGAGTTAATTCAATAAATGGCAACCAGAAAGAGGATAAACAGAGGGTGTTGATTACCTACAACCCAGTATTGAAATCATTATATAGTAGAATTGCACGGCAGAGGAGTGTCTCCCTAGTCTACAGAAAATGCCCATCTATATTTGATATTCTTCGTGATGGAAAGGACAAGTCTAAGAAGGAAAGACTGTCAGGGGTATATAGAGTACCACTTGGGACCATTGTTTTGGCTAGGACTTATTATGCATAGGCTCAACGAAATGTACCATTGGAATCAGGTTGAAAGAACACATGCATGACATTCAACATAATAAATTTTCCACTTCCTTATTCACTTATGCGTCTGATCCAGAGATATTAGCAGACTTTTCAAATGCTAAGTTAATTATTATCTCCTCATATTTAGACCGTCTCAAATGGTTGGAGCAGATAGATATATATAGGGCATACAGCACTTTGTCACCCATTAATTCCAGAGATGAGATCTCTCTTTCTTTGGCATGGCAGGCCCTAATACAGCAGGGGATTAAGTGAATTGTAAACCTAAAATAAAGAGGTAGTCAATGTTTATGTAATATGTTTTTATCTTTAACAACAAAGATCTTCGAAAAATCTATAAAAAAGGGAAAATATTTAAATAACTCTCGATATGATGTAGAAGCTTTGACGTTCGGAGCTATTGATCATGTGATTCTGTTCTCTCTTTCTGATTTAAAAATCGTTCCAAACGAATGTTTTTTCATATTTAATATTGTTTCAAACAATTCTTTACCTGAAGAAGGACCCAGGAGGGGTCTGAAATGTTTGTAGTGTTAAATTTTAATTTGCATCGGTTAAAGGTTTATGAGGTATGTGTTGTTTAGTTAACTCCGGTGTGCAGTTGTTCGTTATTATTAAATTATTAGACATCCAGGAACCATACTACAAATACGTTTCACAGACAGTATTGGAAAACAACATGCACAAAATGTACTATGACAGAGCCACAATAGCAGATAAAACAATTTACTACAGAAATAGATAAATAAATAAAACTCACGCCAAAATTGTATAGCTTCTTGATAACAAGCACTGAGTTCAGCGTTAACACAATTTTCTTATCTCGCAAGTACTTTCGATGAGTATTATATCATTGTCCTCAGGCGAAAAAGAACAAATTTGAAAAACACTCTGCACATTCTATTTTTTTCAAATTTGTTCTTTTTCGTCTGAGGTCGACAATATAATACTCATTGAAAGTACTTGCGAGATAAGAAAATTGTGTTAACACTGAACTCAGTGCTTGTTATCAAAAAACTATAATTTACTACAACAGACCAGACATCACACTCATTGACAAACACAATAAAATCACATACATTATAGACATATGCATTCCAAACACTCACAATATACAATACACATTCACTGAAAAAATTAGCAAGTACACAGAACTTGCCTAGGAAATAAGGCATTTGTGGAGGATGGATAGGGTGATTATTGTACCTGTTGTTTTCTCCTCTACAGGTCTTAAAAGCCTGGGACTATTACAATTGAATAGAAAAACATCACACTACAGAAGGCCACTATATTGAATACATGTCATATTGTTAGGAAATTTCTGAATACAGACAATTTATTTATTTTTTGTCTTGTTTTGGTTGCTATGCCTTGACTCTGGTCAGACATAGTACACAGCAACTGGTGTCAACCAAGTATAGCTCACTTAACCCAACATAATAATTTTTGTAAAATATTTAACTTATTTTTTTTTATTCAAAGTTTTCAGCTAAACTAATAATATAAATGAATGACTTTTCAATTAATTTCATAATTTGTCATAAAATTTATAAAACTTTATTTTATAAATGAAAATGTGTTATAAATTGCTTACAGTAAAATTGAACTTTATTATTTTTGAAGTAATGTATATTCATTTATTGATTTCTTTACTAATTTTCTTTTAAATAATTTGTTTATTTTTTGAAAAGATTTAATGAAAACAAGAATTGAAAATGAAAAACGTCTCTTGCTTGAAGAATTCAATGCTGAAAGAGCATCATATCAAAAATTATTAAAAGAAAATGCAAGATTGGAACAGCGCTTTGAGAATTTACAAAACGAATTGTTGCGTGTTAAAGGCAGTAATGTAGGACATAATCGTACTCCTTCAAACCTTAGTTTAATTAGCATCAGAAGTGATACTACTGAAATTGTTCGTGATGACATCTCTGACATTCCTGATGAGGTATTGTTAAGCAATATTTTTTTATTATAATTGAATAAATAATAGAACTTAATAAATTCATAATACTATTTAGTAGCTTTCATTTTCCTTTTTAATGTTTTCTTAATAGAGTAGAATCTGCTCACTGTAATCATTTTGATACTTTCCCATACTTATAAAAATAATCAAATGTTAACATTAAGCAATGGGGTAAGTAAATAAAGTAATAATTAGGGAAATTTTAGATTTATTGACTTTGACATTGAAAGGACATGTCAAGCAATTCAAAAATGTATAACTTACAGATTTATTTATTCTAATTATTGTTATTATTAGCTAATAGTAATTCATCAATATTTTTTATTTGATGGTTTTTACAGTTCCCTCTCTGCAAATAGCTAGCACATAATGCCAACAATGTAAACTACTGTACTGCAAACAGTTAACATTTAAATTGCTGATTAAGAGTGATAATAGTTGGGCATTTTCAGTTACAAGTTGAGACAAATCATACAAAAAAGACAAGTTTTTGTCTATTTACCTGAAAATAATAACTATCACTGAACTGTGATTAAAATAAGCAGTTTTATAAGCATATTTTAACTTTGATGATAATGATATCTGCTTTATTGGAGCTCACTTACATTGAATAATAGTTTTTCTAGTCTTTTTAGACAATCATGACCATCATCAGTACACTTTTATATCTCTTGACAATATGCTTGATTGTCTGAAAATAGTAAAGAAACTTATTCAATGTGAGAGAGCTCAAATAAAGCAGATTTTTTTTGTTGTTATTTTAAAAAATTAGAGTCATGTTCATTATTTTAATTTATGTTTGGGATGTAAAAATTTTGATAACATTAAATAACTGATACCAGTATCCGTGATTACAGTAAATGGATTCTGCTTTATAACAATTTTATTTTTGTTTTCTGTTTTTTATATTTTTATTAATATTAAAGCATTTTCTCATGTTTGCTCACTATTTACTGTATTCCCTTTTCCAAATTCCTAATGATTGTTTAATAATTAGTTTTTATTTTAAATTATTAATAAATGTGTAATTCAAATTTTATTAAAAAGTTTTATAATAATTATAGATTTGTTTTGTAGTGAAATAAGAGGTATATTAGTTATTAAACAGTTAATCAATCAAAAAATAACTACTAGAACAAATATTACTAAGAAAAAAACTATAATAATAAAACTTGTTAACTTTTCAGTTTGTTTTCTTACTAATTTTTTCAAGTATTTCATATAGAAATGGGACAAAAATGCATCATTAAAATATTTTGTATTTAAATTTCAAATCATTTGAATCACTTGAATAAAGTTTTATCATATTGTTTAATTTTTCAGTAGTGGTGTTGCATGGCCTCTGCTTCAAAATTTCCATTGGCTTCCATATGAGGATTAAGATTTTGCAACGTGTAGTTTGATATAGTATAGCCCAGGCATGGCCAACATATGGCCCGTGGGCCAGATCTGGCCCATGTAATGAATTTGTGGCCCACGATCATTTTTTTAATCATATTAGCTACTGAATTGATCATATTAGCTACTGAAGTCCAAGTAGCTCGATGAGAAATTCTGGCGCCTAAAAAAAAAAAAGGGTCAACAACTCACTGTGCATGTAGAGTTAACCATTCATTACAAATCTCTTAAATACAGTGTAGAATGTTGATAAAGCATGATAATGTGAGAAATGTATCTGTAATCTCTATCTACAATTTAATCTCTATGGGGTGACACCACAATGAGATCTAGTACCACCCCAAAATCTTCCTAGGGCAACCTCTGGTTTGGCCTGTGAAAAAAGTTTTTTTCCAATTCGGCCCAGGGGCAAAAACTGTTGGCCACCAATGGTATGATTCCATTCCAATCTAAAATAAATTTAATCATCAGTCTTGTCAATTCCAAATTTCTGTTTTCATATAAGATCAAACCTGATAAATGTTATTAATGGTTTGTTAAACATGTTAAATAAGATGGAAACTTAACTGCCTACCTTTAGTCCAAATTGCCCAGTAACTTAATAATTAATTAGCTGTATTGTAGCCTGATAAGAATACAGATGTATCATTTGATTCTGTTTTTTGAAATATCATTTATGTCCATTTGCTTGATTCCAAATTGTTTTGGCAGTTGTGCTTAGGGTTGGGCATAATACTAAAGTATTTTAAATACAAATAGTAAATACTGAAGTTCAGTATGTGCAAAATAAAATATTAAATACTTCACCAAATATTAAATATCCAGTTTAAGTCAGAGTATTTGAAAATACTAAGTACCACAAGTATTGTTCTTGAAAATTCAAATTTTAAATTCTTTTAGTGTAGAAATACAGTGGAACCTCTAAATTCGTAATATTCCATATTCATCACATCTTGATGACTTCCCTCCATATTCATCAGTATTTTCTGAATTTGTAATCATTCCCAACACCAGCAGTTGCGCGACAATTGCACATCTGCATCAATCAGTTAGCTGTGTTAGCTTATTGTTGCCAATTAAGCTAATTTTTTGCTAGATTTAGTGGATTTATGAACAATCTAGCTATGTAAATTACCTAAATTATAGTGGCCTAGCTATTTTTATAATGCTATCTAGATATAAAAAATTAAACAATTTTAATGTAAACAATATGATTTGAATATTTTTATTAAAATGTCTAGCTATAAATTTGAATTTTGAGTTGGTAACACTATGTCAACTATCTGTAGTTAATCAGTCTGCTTTGTGTGATCATTATGTGTATTCTTGGTTTCTTGTGTGGATTATTTTCAAAAACTCAAGTTCCAATGGCTCTAACAAAGTGCACTGAAGAAAAACAGCAAAAAAGGAAAGCTGTTAGAACAACAATAGAGATTTTTAAAAAATTATTGCTAAGTCTGAAAATGACAAAGTAGAGAGGTTGTGGCTGAAGTTTTCATCTCTAAAACGTGAATGTCAAACATTGAGCATTGCCATTTTGTAAGTCTAGAAGTTTGACAACAGCATTTGGAACATCATTGGAATAATGCTCAACATTCCAAATGCCATTATCAAACTTATATGTTCACATTTTAGAGATGAAAATTTTGGCTGCAACCTCTCTAGTGTTTTCAACTTAGCCAAAGAATTTAATATGCCAAGATTATAATTGGAATTACCTAATGTTTTAATTGATGGTATGTCTTCTTCCAAACAATAATAACCTTACTCTTCTTCCCCTTCTATTACTATACATATTTATTTAGTACAATAAAGATAAAAAGTTTTACAAACAACAAAATTTTTATTCTTGTATCTTTTTTTTAGGATGGGAACAGATTAATTGAATATCAGTTATTTATTACGAGAAAAATTGTTTCTATATTTGTAATTTTCCATATTTGTTAGAGCCTTAAGAACAGATTAATGACAAATATAGAGGTTCCACTGTACATAAAAATATGTCATTATAAAAACTAAAGTACTTTAAGGTCAGTTTTGGAATGCTTAAATATATACAAAATTCAAAGAAAAGTTCATACATTTCCTATAACTTTAAATCACCTGTCATAGTGTCACAAAAGTAATTGGCACCTATAAGAAATTGATCATATTCAAACATGATTTTAGCATCCTAGGGCAAAATACAGAAGTAAAGAAAACTAACTCAGAAACTAACAGAGCTAGGCAAAAAAAAAGTCTAATTATGAAATGGAAGCAAATTATCTATTTAATACAAAATGATACATGGTTCTAATATGTGATCCATGAAGCTTTTGGCAATGAAATTTTATTTTCCTGTTTTCTGTCTCATATCATTATGCAACCTTGATTAAGCTGACAGTCATGATAAAGAACATTCAAATTAAACTTGATTACTGAAAAGATGAGAATAAACTACAGTATGTTACTAGTTTGCATATCATTACAATATAATAATTTAGTATTTAGTGTACTGGTGGTTATGGAATATTATATATTTGTATTCAGTGGGCTTAAAGCCTGCAATTCCATAAGAAATGTGTGTAGCCTGCCAGAAACCTATGACATTTCCTTGTGCCCCTCATCCAGAAAAGGTTGCACATTGTTAGTTTATTTGTGATCTTTTATTATATGTACAGTACATTCAAAGTTATTAAAGTTTAAAATTGCATGTGATCTTCATAAACACTCTATATAAAGGAATATAATCTATAAACATACTGATACCATTTTAGAATGAAAATAGTATTGGGTTGTTCGGTAAGTAAGTTCGTTTTTTTCTGTGGAAAAAAAAACAATATTTTTATAATNTTTTTTGTTTTAAAACAGTAATTTTATTGAAAATTATAATTTAAATACAGTTGATTCTGTTTAATTGGGCCACTTGTTAATTGAGACAGCTGCCTCTTTGGTACTTATAGTAGAGAGAATTTCTATGTTTAGATATCATTTTTATAGAGATGGTTTTCTATTTTTCATAAAGAATTCTTGTTTTTTGTTTTAAAACAGTAATTTTATTGAAAATTATAATTTAAATACAGTTGATTCTGTTTAATTGGGCCACTTGTTAATTGAGACAGCTGCCTCTTTGGGCCAAGTCTCAAAGAACAGAAACCAAACTAATAAAATAATACATAATTTAAATGCTTAATTAGGACAGTAGCAGAAAAGAAATTTAGCAATTTTTTATATATTTTTCGAAAATACATTAACACTACATATACGAATATTGTGTAGGGCCTAACAGTTGGCTGAGACAAAGCAATTTTGTCTTTTGCTTGGGCAGTTTTGTTTTTCCAGAAGGGGTCAGCATAGTGGGATGTATCACACCAGGATCTCATCTGAGGCAGACCTGAATGCTGACTACTGACCCTTCTTCAGATTGGACTGTTATTGGGCCAGATGATTCCCTTAAAAGCGAAGGGATGAAGACCTCTGACAATTTTTTGATGTCTCTTGACCAAGTTGAAAGACAGCTATTGTTCCCTTGGAAGGTGTTGTGTGCATGATTATGTCTAGACTCAGACAGTAGCCATCCAATAGTTGGGACCAGCATTCGTTGC